TGTTAGAAGGCAAATGCGAAACCAGGAACAAACCGGGTGGGTAATCGGGTTAAGTCAGTCCCTGCAGTAAAACGCCCCACCCATTTTATTTACCCAACAGTTTGACTTTGTTGGATGAATTGCACAAGTAAATCAAAGAAATGACGTATAATCTATAATTAAAAACAAAATTAAAGTATACTTTACTAAAATGCTCCTCGATTTTTTTTTTCTTTGTTGTTGTGAGAAAGATTGTAGATGCGAAAGTATCTAGGATTAAAGGTTCCTAGATTGTATTAAGAGCTTTCAAATGGCAAGGTCAGATTCTTTATTTTGATTTTTTTTTTTAATTTCTTACATTTCTTTAATAACCATTGGTAATACTCCTAATGCTTTTCATTGTCATTTAGGTTTTGAAGCCTACTTAGTAGGTGGATGCGTCAGAGATCTTCTAATGCAGAGAAGATCCAAGGATGTTAACGTAGTTACCACATGGTCTCTTCAATATGTTTTCGTTAATTTAACAATACCATTCATACACATTCACTTTAATACCAATGCTCTAATTCTGACTTATCTTGAATCATGTAACTTTTACAGGTTTATTAGTTATTTAATGATGCATCAGAAGTTGGAAAAGTGCATATGTAAGGTCTCGATAGCCGAATCACTTATTGAGGTTGGTAAATTAACCTTTTTTGAGTTTTTTCTTTAATTTAAATATTTTTATTTTTTTTAGAATTGTCAATGTTTATGTGTTGTCTATGACTCAGGTATCCAATGTAGGACAGGACGATCGCTCACTCCTTCTTCATTACCTTGTAAATGGGAGAAGATGGACTACACTCTCTACATATACACTCTCTACATAAACAGTAAGAAACGCGACTTCTAACATGTGTAGTTTCTTTGACATATTTTCTAGTTGAATTCATTATTAACTAATCCATGTAAGTGTTGATGTTTTTTTTTTGGTGCAGCTTGTTCTTGGATCTCTTATCCTATAGAATCTATTATTACAAGAGCGGAATAAGAGATTTGGAAAGCCAAATGGTATTATAAATTTTAACTACATTGCTTATTTTATCTTCTTGTGATGTATTTAATGATCAGTTTGGTTAAAATTGGATGTAACTCCTTCTCTCTCGACCCAATTGCTTCGTGCAACGGGCGATCATAAACAATTGTTTGTTAATAAATCTAACTGTTATTCAGTTTTTGAGCTTCTTTTAATTTGGTATTTAGTAGGTAAATAAGTAAACTTGTCACTAGATGTACTTCGAGAAATAATTATATATATAGAGAAAGAAGACAAAATTGTGAAGATTAATGAATCATAGATCGCTAACTATTAGTTTGTCTCTCAATTACGGTTCTTTTCGAAAAGATACAACCCAAAAATACAATTATAAATTTATATTGAGACAAATGAATAATGTTAGTGAAAAACGTTTATCCTTCCACACGCAGTTTACAGATTGGAATCATATATGTTTGTCTAACCATTAAAACATTGTTAACGCAACTTTAATATTTCGATGTATGCAAACCATAAAAACTGCTTTCATGTATAAATAACGAAAATTTCTATAGATAATTGTTAAATTAAAAAATTCACTACATGCACCACCCATTTTCGAGAAAAATATATTTAAAATTTTTATTATTTTTATGATGGAAAATTGACGTTGCATTACAAAGTATATAAAACTTGCTTTAAAATCTGCATTGTATATAGAAATCCAAAATTTCTTACACAAATCAAGAATTTTTGGAATTTCTACAATAGTAAAAACATATATATTTTAAAATAATTTCAAAATAATAGAACGACATTTTTTTTATTTTTCTTATACTTTAAGTGAATTAAATTTTAAGTAGTCATGATTAACAAAAATTTTAACGGGAAAATGAGTAAAGAATACAATTATATAAGCAAAAAAAAATTTTCCGAAAAGACGCGATCCTTGAAAAATAACCATAAAGCGGTTTTTTTGAAATGACACAACTATTGACTAAACGGTTATATTAAAAAACGTAACTCTTGGAAAAAAAACCATAAAACGGTTATTTGGAAAAGACGCAACTCTTGATATATCGAAAAGATGCAACTTTTAGAATAACCACTAAACGGTTTTTTACGAAAAGATAACCCAAAAATATTCATTTTTTTGGGTTGC